CCTGGCCACACTGAGCCAGCAACCGATTCCAGGTGTGGTGACACACACTATAATCCCAGTGCTGTGGAGGCTAAAACAGGAGGAACACTACGAGTCCGAGCTGTGTAGTAAGACCCTGCACCAAACACATTAAAAAAAAGAAAAACGACACACACCAGCCCACACAGGAGTGTGTGCAGGGTTGTACACAGAATCACTTCGACACCACAAACAGGCGCTGAACGTATCGCTCGGTGGCAGAGGACCTGCCCCGTGTGCCAAGGGCCTAGGTTCAATCCCCAGCATCAAAAAAGCAAACTAAAACAGAAACAGATACACCCATGAAAGAAAAACATAAAATCAAAAATTAGAAACAATCAAGAAAATTATATCATTATGTAGAGAGCTCTTCCTGGTCCTTGTCTCGGTCCAGAAAGTTTGCATTTGTGATCCCATGGATAAATTATTGGAATCTCGTCAAGCTCATTCCAATCTACCACTTGCAGGGCAACACATGGTGAGAATAAAGACACTGAGGCATATTTATAGTTACGGGGAGCCAAGGGGTCCTGAGGCCAGCCATGGCGCTGGCTATCTGGAGCAAAGGCCTTGGCCCAGGGCCGGACCCAGGTTTTATTCAGTCGTGATGGAGGAGCAGCTTGAGGATGAGTGACTGAGAATGGCAGGAGGCAGGTGAGCACTGAGAGTTGGGCTGGGCAGGAGGCCTGCATTCACCTCTGCAAAATGCAGTGAGAAGGATAAGCAGAGAGTAGCCTGCCTTACACAACCATAGTATCCAATGTTTGGGGTCCAGGGCTTCAGCTCTGATGTGTAATCTTTCAAGCCCCAGGAAGTCACAGCTTCTATCTTGACGCTGGATCCCAGCTGACAGTGTGGAGCACCGGCTCTTCATCCTGTCTCAACCCGGCTCATATTAAACAGCAGCAGGTGTAGGTTATCAGGGAAAACACGCGTGCCATCTTCAAAGACTACCGCCAGCACCTCAGCTAGACCAACACGCACTGCTTAAAGCCATGAAGGGACAAGGAAAAGCCCTCGCCAGCTCTGTACGTATCAACACGTGGAAACAGGGTCAAGCTCAGCCAAAACGGAGACCATCGCTCTTCTCTCAAGGAGAGTCACCACATCATTATTGTATATATTTTCTCCAATATAAGATAGTAAGTGACTTTCAAAAGGAAAGATGGCATTCCAATACTGAAGCTCTCTGAGGTCTAAGTTATTGATGCAAGTTGCAGAATTCTATGTCCACAACTGAATCCTACAGCGATGAGCCAAAGCTGCAGATCTGTATGTGCGCCCACAAATACAGAAGAAGTCTGAGAGGCTTTCTAACTGTTCATAGCAAATATATGGAACATAATGTAAAAAAATTCATCTTTATTATTTTAGTATGTTGGATAGAACACAGATTTATTTTCTGGTAATCATTTCTCTTTAAGCAGAGTTACACATGTAGTTCAAACTGACAACCCTGATTCAGCCTCCTAAGTGGGATTACAGGCCTGCCCAGCACAACATAGTTTTTAATAAACAATTTAAAGGGAATAAATAAATTTTGCAGCCCAGCTAAATAGCTGAGTGGATTGAAGCGCAAATCATTCTTTCACTATGCAGTTAAGTAATGCAACGAGGAGCGGGGGCGATGCTCAGCGGGCAGGTACCCGCTGGCAGGCGCGAAGCTGCAGAGGTGCAGAAAGGGCCTGAGCGTGGGCCCTAGCAGCAAAAAAAAAAAAAAAAAGACAAATGCTTTTCCCTTTCCTACTGTATTACCTGCACATAATAAACAGTGTGTACTCAAAAGCTGACTAAAGAAGGAAAAGAGAAGAAAAAAGGGTAACCCGGTGTCTCCGTACTAAGTGAGCACACAACTGAAAGCCTGACTCCCGCTTGCCTGAAGAGAAATTCAAATGCGAAGCCTGGCAAATTCCGGGGGGTGAGAAAGCCCTGTTTGTCACCATCGCCACCCTTTTCTTAAAAGGCTACACCAAGGCCATGTGTGCACAGAACGGGGCGAACATGCCACCTGTCATGTGTCACACTGACTGACAAATGGCAACTCTGAAAAGTGAAGGAGTCTTCAGCGCACGGTCATCTCATATATCTGATGTAGTTGTAAACATGTTGCCTTGTAATCAAAGAGCTATGGACCCTCTGAACTTCAAAAATAAGTGGTTCTTCCTGGGGAAACACTCACACTTTCTCTGAGGAATAAAAGCATTAATTCAACCACAAAGAAACAAACACGCTCAAAGAAATTTAGAAAATATTAACCATTCATTCTTTGGCATTTCTTCCATTAAGATTACAAAATGTGGTAGTTAGACCCTGAAAATATTTTAAGAATATATCTCCTTCTACGTAGGGCCCCACACAAGGCCGTAGGTGAGGTGCAACAGTTCACTGTGTTTGTATGTGCAGAACAGGCAGCTGCAAAGCACTCGTGCAGTACCAAGGTGCTGGTCTACAACAATGCCACCTAAGGTCATTTTTAAAAAGGAATATAACCCCCTTCATCATTTTAGAGACGATGAAAATCAAGTAAAGAGTATGTAATTCATTTGTACTAAATTCTGAATTTAATAAATGACAAAACTAGAACTAAGTTATAAACATCTGCAGACTATCCTTTACTATTTAGTGCTTCTCAGCAAAGACGAGGAAGTTTTATTTTCTTCACTGATGAGCAGCATATCAAAACAAACAGTTATACCTCTGTTTTAGTTCATCTAGTTTCAGTACATTTAATAATTTGAAATAGCATGATACTTAGTAATTTTCAAAGTGTACATTGTTTTATTTGATCTTCATGTAAATTAATGAAAAGAACTACAGGGCAGAATTGTCACTGCCATTTTCCTACTGGAGAAACTGAAGCTGAGAGGTCCCAGCGCTGGTGCGCTGTGCTGACGGAATTCATGTGCAGATGGCCCTTGATGTCCTGGGGGATTATGCATTGAGAAGCCCCGCAGTTGAAACTATCCTACACAGGGCCGGGGAGATGGCTCAGTGGAATAAGTGTTTCCCTGGCAAGTGCAAGGGCCTGAGTTCAATCCCCAGTTCCACCAAAAAAAAACAAAAAAAAAGAAAGAAAAGAAAAGAAAAGAAACTATCCTACACCAAAAATACAGGTAGTGCCCTAACCCAAGACCAGAGCCCGCCAGCGCAGTGTGCTAGAGTGCTGACTGTGTACCCCGATGGCTTTAAGGCTGTCGGGGTGCTATGGCTTGTGTCACTGTCCAGCACCCCAATAGTATCTGAAAGCATATTCAATATCGCTGGCCCATAAGAGATCAAAATTCAAAGTAGCAGGGCCAGCCAGATAGCTCAGCAAATTAAAGCACCTGCTTAGGCGGAGTGCAGCAGCCCCTGTAATCTGTGTGCTAAATACATTTTTTTAAAAAATTCAAAGTAGCTTTCACTGAGTACTATTTTTGCAACATCAAGCCAACAAATTATAGGTTGAACCCCTGTGAGCTGGGCATCGTCTGTATACCCAATCTTTCAGCTCAGTGTTGTTTCCTCTGCGTACAGTTGCCCTTCAATTCCCATTAGTTCTACATCTGCAGATTCCACACCTGTGGATTCAACCAACTATGAAACGTTGAAGCACAAATGGAAAAGAAACCTAAAGTTGTTGCTGCCATGTTCTACAAAACTAGACTTATGTCAGTAGCATCTGTAAAAATTACATTCAGACCTTTTCTTGTCATCATTTTTTTTTCTTTTTTTAATCTTTTATGCATTTATGTATTTGGTACAGGGTCTGACTATGCAGCTCAGACTTGTAGTGATCCTCCTGTGTGAGCCTCCCCAGCGCTGGGATTACACGCATGCACCACCATGCCCAGTCTCAGCTGGCTCCATGTGGGGACAGCAAGGCATGGTATCGGGAATCGAGCCCAGGTCCTTGTGCTTGCCAGGCAGGCACTTAGACTGCAGAGCTATCTCCCCAGCCCTTGTCATTATTTTCTAAGTGAACACTTTCTAACATAGCATTTACATTGAACTAGGCTTTATAGCTAATCCGGATATGATTTAAAGCATGGAATAAAGTTCGTACAAGAGTTACATGTATTTTGTCATTTTACACAAGGATCTTGAATATCTGTGGGTTTGGTATCCACAAGGCTCCCTGGAATCAATCTCTCTACAGATATCCAGGGAGGACAACACTTTGCCACTCAAATGTCCACAAGATAATTGATGTAAATTTTTTTACAAAGAAGTTATATGGTTGAGCTGTGGATAAGGTTGATATCCTAAATAGGACAATATCCCAGCAAGTGGAGTGTGCTTGCGGAGCTGGCTATGCAACACCAGAAGCACACACAACATCACCTGGACCAAAAATTTAAAAAAAAAAAAATACAGAAAATAGACGAGCAGGTGGGTAGAAATGCTTTGCCAGCAGGATTGAAGTCTTTTTTACCCAAAAATATTTGCTGATGGCCTACAGAACTATCTAAAAAAACTGTCACTGTTTATTATGACTAAAAACCAGGATGACATAAAACTTGTTTTCCATTATCTCCTTTTAATCCTAATCCAACTGTCCTACGTCAATCGTGCCTTTCCATTTCATCACGACCAGGCTACAACTGAGGCATACGGTCATTTTACCAAGCTCAGAAGACGAGAACAGAGGCCAGCCTGCCTCCCAAGCCTGCCCTGTTCTGGCATGATCACACTATCCCTGGTCGTTTGTTTCACCGTTTCTGGAATAAGAATGTCTCGTGATAACCTCTGTTTTGGAACACCTTTCAGATCAACAGGACTGTTTGCAAAGCGTTACACTCAGACTCCAAAGAGCAGGTGGTACCTCTGAATTAATCTCTGGAGATAAGAAGTATAACTGAACTGGCTTCATACTTTTTAATCTATTTCAGTCATACTTTCTTGAAAATAATGACCACAGCAAATGGAACAAACGGTTCCATTTAACTGACATATAACCTAACCATCCAAACATTTAACTGTACTCCTCTCTTAAAACTGCCTTCGTTGTTTTTACATGTTTCTTTCAATGCAAGGATCCATCTTGCTTTTTTTTTAAATATACTTTTGATTGTTTAAAAAGAAACTATGGGGGCCGGGGAGATGGCTCAGTGGAATAAGTGCTTCCTTGGCAAGCACAAGGGCTTGAGTTCAATCCCCGGTTCTGCCAAAAATAAATAAATAAATAAATAAATAAGTTTCTTAGCTCTGCCTTCTCCCTCTTTTGTCCCCACGGAGTTTCTATTTGGCATTGAAAGAATGAGAAATTGCCCCGAAAGAATGTGCCTGAGAGCGACTCTCGGGGCGGCAGCGCACGGGACGGGAAACGGCTTTCGCTGTGCAAACGGAGCAGCACGCAGCCTCCGCGGGGTACTTCCAACTTCTTAAATGGCATGCTTCCCTTAGACAAATGCTAGGAACCATAAATTCCATCAGTACAGACAAATGTTTCGGGGGCCGGTGGGACGGCTCAGGCAGTGACCCGCGCCCTCGGCCACCCGCCCGCCCGCCCACCGGGGCGGCTGAGCCAGCTACGCAGCCGGGAGGCGCACAGAGCCGGGAGGCTGAAAGCGGGAGGGGCGCTATGAGTGCAGCTGCTTGTGAGACGCTGCATCGGATACATAAAATGAAATCAAAGAAGTTAAAATTCTCAGCTAGTCTGCTGTCAGACCACCCTGAAAAGGCCCGACATCATCTACAACCAGAAGCTGAACAGCGTCGGGCCTGGTTAGTAACTGGATGGAAAAACGACATTTACCTAATACTGGGAAAACAAATATCAAAATTTTATTTAAAATAACCATAAACTAATTATAAAATACTTAAATTTTTTTCATAAATATTTCTTTAGTGGCGGGTACTGGGGACCAAACTCAGGACCTTGTGCTTGCCAGGCAGGTACTTACGCCGCTGAGCTATCTCCCCAGCCCCTCATAAATATTGATTTTCTTTCTTCCTTCTTTTCCCCTCCTCATAAATACTTCTATCATAGATTTCTATTTAGCAAATAAAGGAAGTCCTTTAAAATGAGAAGGATGCAACAATTAAGAAAAATTCAAAGGTAAAATTTTAAGAAGGCCTTCGTCACCCGACATAATTATCACCAATGTTAAGGACAGCGTGTGTTGCCCTTCAGAACTCAGGCATCGCTTATCTGCGTGTCATACTTTGTCCATGTTCTTCTTTCATTATAGCGAAGGCTACTACACTGAGTTTTGCCTGAGCTTCACGCCTTGTCCCATACTGAGGGTTATGCTGCCCAGCAACTCTTGCTGCTTACGTTATTGTTAAAGGCGAGGAAAGTGTTTTTTAAAAACTGTTCTACAAAACGTACTATGGATAAAGTTTTCAAAGGACTGAATGATAACGAAGCTGATGGAGAAAACCTTTAACAAGGTCACAGAATCTAAATAAAGCTGGGTGAAGATTTAAATCTGGGGGAGAAGCAAAAGAGAAAGTAATCTATCTGTGAATTATATGGTGCATATAAAAGGTGAGTTTTAAAATATGTTAGAGGAGAGGAGTGAGAGCTGACATTTATTTAGAAGCACAAATGCCAGGGAAACATTTAAAAATGTTAACTGTTGACCCTCCTGCAGCCAACTGAGGCGTAGGTAGCAAGACAGTGGCTCAACAGTGCAGACGCAACAGGGGTGAAACGGGCATCTCCTACTCCAGGATTTAAGTATAACTTCGGTTTATGGCCCTTATTCCAGAGAAGGAGGAGGAGAAAGAGGGAGGGAAAAGAGGGAGAGGGAAAGAAAGAGAAGGAGGAGGAGGAGGAAGAGGAGGAGGAAGAAAAGAGAGAACTTATTCTGCTATTGTCTTCATAAAATTAACATAAAACAGGTGTGGTGGCACATGTGTGTAATACCAGCATTTGGGAAGCTGAGGCAGGAGAGCTGCGACGAGGTCAAGGTGACCCTGGACTACAAAAATAAGTAAATGAAAATGCCTTGATTCAAGTCTTCGATTTAGGCCTACATAGAGAAAACAGCACACACTGAAGTCTCTTTGGAAAATGACAAATACTTCTACTCAAAAGAAAGAGCTTTCAGCTTGCTACCAGCCCTCAAAATTACACTGGTCATTTCTTTGATTTACGTCCTCCTGGTGAGTGACAAATGAAAGCACTTCATTTGAAGGGATTCAGAGTTCAGCATTTGGCAAGATAAGAAAAAAGACAATTTCCATAATCCTTTCTAGTCTTTTCTTGCTTGCTAGGCTGCAAACTGGTTAGGCTAGATGAGGCTACAACGGGTCTCTTTCATAACTGCAGCAAAATTCAGCTTTTCTTCCTTTTTTTTTTTTTTCCAGTTTCCTATCAGGACACCCAAAATAAACATTTGACTTTGCTGCCATGTACCACGAGGTTACCATGCAGGAAATGCTTTGCTTTTGTTCTATCTGACCCATGTTGTTAAGATGACATTAATAATGCTAGTTCACATGGCCATGTCTGTATTTATGTCTGGTAAAGAAACTAACTGTCCCAGGACATTTTGAAAGGCAACAGTGAAGATCAGGCCTTGCTTTGCAATAAGCTACTTCTTGCAGTGTTTCCCACACCTCTGAAATCAGCAAGTGTGAAGCGAGCTGAGATGCCCAGGAAGGTGGACTCCAGGCCTATTTCCCAGGTAGACTACACTGACCATGTGCGAGGACATGGATTCCAACAGTGGAAAAACAGTTATTTTAAATTCTAGGTCTTAGTAGCTCCCCTTTTGATCCTTAGGATATCATTTACTTTTAAAGTGCTTCCAGACACTTGTGTTACGATTTGTGTCTAATTATCCCCTCAGTGCTTCATGCAGTCTGCCATGTGCTGCTCTGCCTTGGAGCAAGGTGAGTATGGACTGAAACCTCCACTAACTGTGAGCTAAAGAAAACTTTCCTCTCTCCATTTTGGGTGTCAAGTATTTTGTTCCAGCAAAGAGTGAAGAGTAACTGCGACAACTGGGCATGGGGGTGCATGCCTATAATCAATCCCAGCACTCTGGAGGCTGAGAGAAGAAGATCACCAGGGGTTTGAGGTCAGCTGAGGCTACATAAGCAAGTTCAAGGCCAGCCTGCACTACATAGTGCGACACTGTCACTAAACAAATTAATAAATAAATGAAATGCTTACACTCAAGTGAGACTATTTGGAATTCTGGTAGATTGGCAAGTAGGTGTTTACAGTTTAATACCAGCTGCTCAGAATTCATCATTGGGCAGCCAACACTCTACATGACACAGACTGTAAGTACCAATGGAATAAAATATCTTAATAACTTAATAAATAATTGGGATAATTGAGGTCTACCTTCCAATAAAGATGAACATGAAGAAAATGGAAAACCTGCTTATCTCTGTCCATAATTAGCAAAATAATAAAATAATCTTTTGTGTTGTACTTGTTAATCCACTAGGCATTGAATGTTTGTATGCTCCTCTTCCAATTTCATTTGTTGTAGTTCTAACAAATAGTTCTTCCAGAGGCAGTATTTGGAGATGACTTTTAAAGAATTAAGGTTAACTGGATCACAAAGCTGAGGCCCCACTCAAAAGGATTAGTGTCCTTATCAGAAGAGATGTCAGATGATGCTGTTGAAGGTCCTCTCTTCACATGGGAAGGAAAGCCACAGGAGAACACAGTGACAAGGCCAGAAGGTCTCCACACTAGGAAGAGCTCTCTCCTGATGGTGAGCTGATCATCTCTTGGCCCTTATGGCCTCCAGAACTGTGAGAACATAAATTCTTATTGTTTAGTCAGTACTCTGTGGTATTTTTTATAGAAGCCCAGAGACTAATACAGATTTTGATACTGTAAAGTAGGGTATTATTGTAACAAATAACTACACATATGAAATGGATTTGGAACTGGGTACTGAGTGGAGGCTAGAAAATTTTGAGGCTCCTGTTAAAAGAACAAATTATAATGAAAGATGTATCAGTGGAGTGCATCAAGAGAGCTGGGAGAAAGGAGAAAGGAAGAGCCTATTTTTCAGAGGACTACTCATCTACCCAGCTAAAACATCAATGATAGGGGCTGGGGAGATGGCTCAGTAGAATAAGCGCTTCCCTGGCAAGCGCAAGGGCCTGAGTTCAATCCCTGGTTCTGAAAAAAAAAACAAAAAAACAAAAACCAATAATCATAAATGCTAAGCACACTGTTAGAAATATGAACTTTAAGGCCCATTCTGGTAAAGTCTCAGACTAAACTAAAGATGTGAAACTGGAAAAAGCATAAACTTAGCAATGAAATGGATGAATTGTGTCCTACTACTGCATGGATGACAGAATTGTGGGTGATGAAGTTGGATACGGAGAACAGATCTCCAGGAACAGTACTGAAGATATGGCTTGAGTTTTTTCCTACTGTCTGAGGACAGTGTAAGGGATGAACTGAAAGAACTGTTAAGCAAAAAAGGAACCAGCATTCAAGGATTTGAAATATTTTTGGCTTAGCCATATCATAAAAAGCAAAGAAGCCTGTTCTGAAAGGAAACTAAGGATGTGGCAGAAAAAGCATTTGCTAAGGAGATTGCTATGGCTGTGAACTAAAGATCCAGTCAGACAGGAAATCAGCATAAAAATGGCATTGTCCTACCAGAAACTGCCAGACAGGCCTGAGGAAACAGTCAAAATGGGGCGGGAGGATCATGGTCTCGCATGTGCTTTTTCTGAAGAAACAAGGAAGGATCCTGACTGTCCTATTCAAGATCATCGGGGCTGTCACTCCCACCATAAACCCAGGGGCAAAGCTACTTCCTCTGGTGTCAGAGGGCAGCTGCAGAAAACCAATAGGATGCCACTGGCCTTGGCGATGCCAGGCCAGAACTCAACAGGCCTTTGGGGAAACACTCGCCCCAGAGAGGCGGTAGGGGGCGGATCACCACTTAATCCAGAAGGCCGAACAACGACCTGGGTGGCTTTGTAGGAAGGACCATTGGTGGGGCCACAAATTATACACTGGGGCTGAGGCTCAGAGGCCTTCACACCCCTGCCACCACGGTGCTGACAGGGCAGGACAAGGTCTGCTGCAGACAGCACAGGGAGGGCTGGCACCCTGGTGTGGTACTGGATCTTGTTTCTTTTGTGACCCTAAACTTGTTCCTCATTCCACCTAGTTCTTATTCCAGGAAAAGTACCCTTTTTTCCCCCTGGACTTCTCCCTGGAAAAAATAAAAGTGGACCCCCTGAAGAGGGCTTTCTTTGTTTGAACTAAGTGTTTAGAGGAGATATCGTGTCTGTATCTTCTACTATGAACGACTACTACAAAGACAACAGTATACAATGTATTAATTATTGTAATTGTCCTACTAACCTGTTTTGAATCTGCCTCATTGCTACTTCTTTCTCAATAAAACTAATATTTAAAA